TGACTTAACGGGTTGCACTTAGGTTCTGTCACTAGAAATAAACCATGATGTCCAAGTTGAATGATGTATTCAATGTAAACTGAATAGGTTATTTGACTGGAACTTTCCATTGAGTTCGAATTAAGGAGGTAAAGCGTCGGAATTCGGGCGAGGTTACCCCAGAGTTGAAAATCAGGACCTCTCATCCGTAACTCCTACACTTCTCTACATGGTGGATGGTGCAGACATATAAAGGCTTCTCCCTTTGGCGTTCAGTCCCACCAAAAGGTAGGCATGTGAAGTGAGCCTTAGAGTTCAGCAAGATGACCCCAGAGTTGAAATCAGGACCTCTCCTCTGAGACTCCCACTCTTCTATACATGGTGAATGGTGCAGTCATGTAGAGACTTCTCCCTTTGGTGTTCAGCCTCGTCAAAGGTAGGCATGTGGAATGAGCCTTCGAGTTCGAGCGAGATGACCCCAGAGTTGGGAATCGGGACCTCTCCTCCAAGGCTCCCGCGCTTCTCTACATGGTGGATGGTTCAGCCATGTAGAGGCTTCTTCCTTTGGCGTTCAGCCTCGCCAAAGGTAGGCATGTGGAGTGAGCCTCGGAGTTTGGACGAGATAACCCAGAGTTGAGAATCAGGACCTCTTATCTGAGGCTCCTAAGCTGCTCTACATGGTGGATGGTGCGGCCATATAGATGCTTCTCCCTTTGGTGTTCAGCCTCACCAAAGGTAGGCATGTAGAGTGAGCCTCGGAGTTCGAGCGAAGTGACCCCAGAGTTGGGAATCGGACCTCTCCTCCGAGGTTCCCATATTCTGAGAGTCGTATCTGAATTTTAATGACATTTTATTGAAGTTGAAAATCAGTTACATAAGTTGGGAAAGATCGTCCAACGATGCAGTACATTCATTGGTAGTAAATTTTGAGATGCCCAATGTGCCATGGATGAGGCAGTGCCCTGCCATCTATGTCTTCAATTCTGTAGGTGTCGGGTCGGAGTTCTTCTTTGACTCTGTAAGGACCTTCCTAGTTTGGACCCAAGGTGCCTTTGACAGGTCCTTTGTAGGAAAGGAAGACTCTCCTAAGGACCAGGTCATTGATTCGGAAAGACCTCTTCTTTACCTTGGAATTAAAGTATTTGGTTATTTTCCTTTGGTAAGTAGCGAGCCTCAGTCGGGAGTCATCTTTTCTTTCATCAATGAAGTTGAGGTTGAATTTTCGTAGTTCGTCATTCATTATTTTGCTGAAGTGTAGGCGACGCGATGATGGTAAACCAACCTCGACGGGGCTCATGGCTTCGGTGCCATGAGCCATGAGGAAATGAGTTTTCCCCATGGGAGTTCTGGTGGTAGTTCGGATTTTCCAAAGCACTTGAGGTAACTCATCAACCCAGGCTCACTTTGACGCATCCAATTTCTTTTTGAGGACATGTTTGATCGTCTTGTTTACAACCTCAACTTGGCCATTAGCTTGAGGATGATGAGGCGTTGAGAAGTGCTTCTTGATTTCGAGTTCTTCGCATAGGTTCCTGACTTTCTTATTGTCAAAATGCCTTCCATGTCCGAAACTATGGAGTGGAAAATTCCAAACCGGCATATGATGTTCTTCCAAAGGAACTTGGAGGTGTTTGCTTCTGTGATCTTTGCTAGCGGTTCAACCTCAATCCACTTCGTGAAATAATTAATTTCTAAAATAGTGAAGTTCGCGCCTCCTCTATCTTTAGGTAGGGGACCTATCAGGTCCACACCCCACTTGGAGAAGGGCCATGGGCTGGAGACGGTAGTTAGCTCCTGTGCGGGTTGCCTCTGAATGGGAGAGAACCGTTGGCACTTATCACACTTGCACACGAATTGAAGCGCATCCTTTTTCAAGGTGGGCCAGTAGTATCCTTGCCTCAGTACCTTTTGTGCCAAGGTTAGTCTTCCTGAGTGACTACCACAAACACCTTCATGGATCTCCCTTATAATGTAGGTGACCTCGTCTTCCCCAACACAGCGAAGAATTTGGGAGGAGAAACTTCTTTTGTAAAGTACATCATCAATGAAAAGGAAATGAGCTGACCTTCTCCTCAGTTTGTAGGCCTCATCTTTGTTAGTGGGCAGGATCCAATCCTTTAGGTAGGCTATGATAGGTTGCATCCAGGTGAGGGTTCCTTCGACCTACATCACTTCAGGGGCCTCGATAGACGATGTAAGGAGGTGATCAGTTGGTACTATTGCAAGTAGTTCGGAGTCCTTGCTACTCGCGAGTTTAGAGAGTGCATCTACTTGTGCGTTTTCGAGATGAGGGATCTGTATTATTTCAAATTTTTCAAAAGATGGGAGGAGGTTCGTCACCATCTTCAAGTAGGAGGTCATAGTTTTATCCCTAGCTGAAAAACTGTCATTCACTTGGCTTACTACCAGCTGGGAGTCACTGCTGATACGTAGCCTCCTTACTTGCATTTTTTTGGCTATTCTGAGGCCTGCGAGGAGCGCCTCATACTCAGTAGTGTTGTTGATGGCCTTAAATTCAAACCTCACGGCCGAGTTCAACTTGTGACCTTCTACGCTGACAAGACTACTCCAGCTCCCGAACCTGTGTCTCCAGCCGAACCATTCATGAACAAGTTCCACGTGGGGGCTCAACAGGTTCCATAACCTCTTCAACCTCGGGTACATTGGCGAACTCTACTACAAAATTAGCTAAAGCTTGGCCATTGATGTCTACCCTTGTCTTAAAGACAATATCGAATTCACTTAACTCCACCGCCCATTTCAATAGTCTTCCTGAGGCATCCGGCTTCTGTAGCACTTGCTTCAAAGGAAAGTTCATCAGCACGTGAATGGTGTGTGCCTGGAAGTAGGGCCTCAGCTTCCTCGAAGCTGTGGTCGAGGCTAAGGCTAGCTTCTTCATATCAAGATAGTGAGTTTTTGGATATAAGAGTGCCTTGCTGGTATAGTACATAAGGAGTTAGGTGACTCCTTTCTCTCGGGTTAGGACCGCACTGATGGCCTCATTGGAGACGGCTAAGTATAACTGAAGGATATCGTCGGGCTTTGGTTTGGAGAGAAGAAGGGCCTGCCCTAAATGCTTTTTTAGGCCCTGGAATGCCTCTTCACACTTTTCATTCCATTCGAACTTCTTCCCGATTTTCAATATTTTGAAGAATGGGAGGCATTTATCGGTGGCCTTGGAGACAAAGTAGCTGAGGGCTGCCACTTGTCCCGTTAGGCTATGGATTTCCTTGGTTTTTTAGGGTGATCTCATCTCGAGCAAGGCATTTATCTTTTCGGGATTGGTTTCGATCCCTCTTTGATTGACCATGTACCCCATGAATTTGCAGGAGGCAACGCCAAAAGCGCACTTGAGGGGGTTGAGCTTCATCATGTACCTTCTGAGGGTTCGAAAAGTGTTATCCAGGTACGTCACATGGTCGTCCGCCTTCAGGCTTTTCACAAGCACATCGTCCACGTACACTTCCATTGTCTTGCCGATAAGGTCCATAAACATTTTGTTTACAAGCCTTTGATAGGTGGCACTGACATTTTTCAACCCAAAGGGCATCATCTTATAGTAGTAAAGGCCTCTATCAGTGATAAAGGAGGTATTCTCCTCATTGGTCAGGTACATGGGTATTTGGTTATACCCCGAGTAGGCGTCCATGAAACTCAAGAGCTCATGTCTGACGGTGGAGTCTACCAATTGATTAATTCTCGGAAGTGAGAAGCTGTCTTTAGGATATGCCTTGTTGGGATTCGTAAAGTCGATACATACCCTCCACTTACCGTTATGCTTCTTGACTAGCACCGGGTTGGAGACCCATTTCGGGTAGATGGCCTCTCTGATGAAGCCATTCTTGATTAGCGTCTGCATTTCTTCCTTTAAAGCCTCATATTTTTCTGGGTTGAAGGCTTTTCTTTTCTGTCGGTGCGAAGCAACCTTAGGATCTATCTTTAGGTGGTGACAGTTGACCTTGGGGTCTATACCCACCATGTCCTTATGCCTCCAAGCAAAGACGTCAAGGTTCTTGCAGAAAAAGTCTTTCAATCTTTCTTTCATGTCGTTGCACAGGCCTATGCCTACTTTCAACACCTTCGTGGGGTTGTGGGGGTCTATCGGGAAGCTTTTCAGTTCCTCAATCGGAGTTGTTTGGGGTTCGTGTTCAATCACACAAGGATCAATCTCATCGATCATGGAGAGTTCTTCCTCCTCAGGAGGTGTGTCGATCATGTCAACATCCTCTCGTTCAGGAGGGGCCTCGATAGGGATGTCTGCCATATCCACATCGGTCAGGATGGCATGTACATCTAGGGGCTCAACCTTTCTGATGGAGCTCAGGTAGCATTCTCTGGATCCTCTTTGGTCACCTCTCACTATTATCACCCCATTATCAATTGAGAGTTTCATGCATAAGTGGTGGATGGAGGTGACGGCTCCTAACTTCTTCAGGGCTGGTCTACCCAAGACTTCGTGGTAAGCTGACCGACTGTCTACAATAAGGAATTCCATAAAGTTCATGGTGGTTCGGGGGACTTTCTCATCTCTACCACAAGTGTTATTTTTCCTCTCGGAGTGATACTAACTCCGGTAAATCCATATAAAGGAGTGATGGTAGGCGTCAGTTCGTGGTCCATGATCATCTTATCAAAGATAGACTTGAACAGGATGTTAACGGAGCTGCCATTGTCTATTAGCATTCGTTTGAGCCCATTTCGGGCCACAACGATCCTTACCACAAGTGCATCACAATGGGGATAATGAACCCCTTTAGAGTCCTCTTGGGTGAAGACGATGGGTGGTAATTATTTTCTTCGGGAGCTGATGTCCATGATATAACTGGTTAGCTGGAGGCGTTTAGCCTCTTGGGCATAGTTCTATTTTGCATTCCAGGTTTTATTGCCCACGTAGGGGCCTCCGAATATGATATCTATCTCGTGAATAGGGGTCTCTTCTCGTACGTGGCGGTTTCCATGGTGCCTGTGTCCTTCCCTGGATCTCCCCACATCATGTTCCCTTCAATGGAGGATACATCTCGCTAGCGGGGCGTAGTCTCCTCATGCCTAGGTCGCCGGTCATTCCTGGGCGGGGGTCTATTTGCCTGTGGCGACTCATTCCTCCTGTCTTGAGGGTGTTCCCGTCGATTGCAGTATGTATACTCCCGACACTCGGATGTGTCGTGACCATAGAAGTGGTGGTATGTACAATAATCGGGGGTTCTGATTAGGCCTATTCCTAGTCCCCAAACCTCCTCCTCGACCTTTTCCTCCACGGGGGGCCCGTTGTAAAGTTCCTACTTACGGGTCTGTTGTGATTGGATTGACATCTTCATATGCCAAAGTTGGGACTACGTTCAGAGTGGTTGCGACAAGTGCTTGCCTTGAATTTCCATTACCAGGGGGGTTTATCTGGTGGTCCATCAAGTGGGAGGTCGGTCCCCTGGCGCGCTGTCTTTGTTGAGGTGAGAAGCCTCTATTGGCCCGATTTCTGTTTTCAATTAGCTCTTCATTGATAATCTCCCACCTTATCATTTCTAATAGGGCGTCATAGGTGGTGGGATCTTGATTTTGCACTTCCCTCCAAAACAGGGTGTTTGTATTCAGACCTACTCTTGGGGCTGCTAAAGCCTCATGATCGGCGACTTGCATGCAGCATGTCATTTCATCAGTAAAGCACGATAAAAAGCTTTTTAGGGATTCCCCATGCGCTTGTCTCATGTCTTGAAGGCGCTGGATAGGGGTTTCTCCCTCTTTGCTCACTGCAAACATTTTTAGGAAAGTGTTCTTAAATTCTGGCCAACTCCTTATGCTCCCATGTGGCAGTCGACTATACCAGATTTCAGTCGCTCTGGTAAGTGTCAAATGAAAAGTTCTGCACTTCATAGTTGGGGTGGCGCCTCTAAGGCTCATATGAGTTTTATAAGGGCTTAAGTGTTTCTCCGGGTCGCCTGTCCCGTCATACTTTGTTATTTTAGGCATCACGTAATGGCCCGAAACCTGGGCATTTCTTAGTTCACTTGAAAATGGGAGATTTTCATCATCGTCGTCCAAGTCACAGGATCTATGCTGCTCATTCGAGTCATTGTTCTCTTCGGCTTCATACCTAGGTGGCTAATGAGAGGGTTCAACTTGAGTCATAGCCTCCTCTTTCCTCCTTTTATGCCTATTTCTAGGCGGAGCAGCACGGAGGGCATTTTCCTACCTTTCCTCCGGCTGATGAGTCATTGGAGGTGGGGGATGTGGTCTATTCCGAGGCTCACGTTGATGTTGTTATTGGCTGTGCCTCGGTTTCGCGAGGCTAATTCTGTCAAAGACACTGTTATACCTCCTAGGTCTTTGTTCTAGCTCATACGCTGGTGGAAAGTTGTCCTGGTTATAACGAGCCTCGGTAGGTTGGCCTGCAGTATAATTGGAGGAAACATCAACTTTTACTTCCCTTTCCATGGGGCTTCTGCCTTGGCTATATTCTGGTGATACGACTCTTCAGCTTTGGACTTCCTTATCTTGGTCGTAATATTCTTGGGGTGCATGTTCTGGCTAGCAATGTCCCTCATGTTTGCGGCCATGGTGGCCATCTCTCTCTACAACTGAGCGGCCATCCACATGCTACCTCTTCTATGGTGGTGGTGAAGTCGATGTCGAGCTGCAGGGGCAGCTGTCGGTGGGGGGATTCCGACATTTTCTCTTACCCTCCTAGGGTGCACATTCTCGTCTGAACTCATTCTCTTCTGTTCCAACTTCAAATTGTTGCTAAGTTATGTGGCTTCCACTTGTTTTTTTCCAAGAACAAAACCTTTTTCAAGGGGGATGCCCAAATATACTTTTCGATAAGCTTTCTTCACACGGTTGCTCGTGGTTATGATATGGTTTCCCACAGATGGCGTCAATTTGTTGACCCCAGAATATGTTTCCAACAGATACTGGACCCACCTGCGCACACATAAGCCTGGTACAACACGTTAAGACACGTGGACGGTCTAAAACTAGTAGTAAAAAGGGTGCATGGGAGCGGCTAAGGCATGGGACGAGAACATTTGGAATTCAGCAAGACGTTTGCATAACAATTGTACAATAATTACCAATCGATGTTTGTAGAATGCGCGTGTGTTGCAAGAGAGTAAAATATAAAGAATGATGTATTTGTTCTTGTGTTGAATCTTACATTACCTTTGTAAAAGATGCATGGAGGAGTGTTTATAGTATTACAACTTAGATCGTGGCCCTTGGTTGGGAATACACGTGGCCTTATCTCGTAAGTCTACATGTCAAATTATAGGTATCACATTTCACTTTCTAGCCTGTTACACATTTATTAATTGGCGGCTCCACCGCTACATTGACAAAACAAGACACTTGTACTCCATGATGGGTGTCCCATCAATCAATCAAGAAGGATTCTCGTGTAAGACCGAATCTCTGGGGAGAAGTGTTGCTTAAAGCCTCAAGTCCTCGGAGTGATGGGCCTCAGAGTGAAGGGCCTCGGCTAGAACACCACTTTGGCATATTCACTTGGACCACATCATGGGCGTTGTAATAGTATGTTGGTCTACTCCTGTTGGCCTGGGGCCTCGGATAAGATGCCACGTGGTTCGGTAGAAGTGGGCCATGGGCCATAGTGGGTCGGCCAAGTACAAGTGTGTCAATACATGACAAAAAGTACATTACGATCATCATTATTAGCACATGGTTTAACAAGTTCACAACACATGTCTTCGCCTGATATCTAAACTAAACTAAAAGTGTTCCCAAATCATGTGAAATAAAAAAAACATATATTTTCAATAATCTAAATCATAATTCAAAAAAACTACAGTAGCAAATCACGTTTAAAGCTTCAGAAACCCTAATATAAACTCTCATTTTTCAAACATTTGACTCTTATCTCCCACTGACGAATGAATCGTTGATCGCCTTTTGTCTATTTGTTTGCTAATTTCTACTTGAATCGCCACTTTCTCTCTTCTCTCTCAATAAGTCTCAAATTTTCATTGATCTTTCTTTCATTTGTTATTTTTGAACTTATCATACACTTGTGAGTTGTGATTTTGATAGAATTATATGTTTCAAACCAATCCGAGCTGGCCATAGTGTGTTTGGTTTGATTTGTATGGTCGATTTTTCCACCTTGACCTACTTACACAAAGTAATCCTATTACAATTTTTCATAATATTAACGACGATCTAAAATGGGCGATCAGGGTAAATAAAAATTTCCAAATGATTTCTTCGGACAATTGATACAAAATTAAATTAATTAAAAATTGAAATTTTGGATCAAGTAATAAGATCATACAATGAATTATAGGGTTTGTTTGCACCCCGTTTTATTGAAGAATAGATTTCGTAATAGTGATTTTTCGAAAAATATGTAATAAGAAATTAAGAAAAAATTAAGGTTCATGTAAAATTATTTTATTCAAAGCATGTCTTATTCGAAAATTTAAGTATTGAGTTGGTAATTGGGCCGAGCAGAACCTAAGGTCCAAGATACCACTTCGGAATCTACTCTGAGGGTCACCAAACTCGTACCCATGACTTTTGGGGAGCCCAACCAATCACACCATTTCCAGGCAACAGATAATGTGTTTCTTTGACGAAGCTTGAAAAAAGGTAAAATTTACTTTTTTTAGCTCTTATTTGGGCTCCATTTTAATCAAGTTTTGGAAAAGGTGTACTTTGAAATAGTAAGGCTTTTGAGAAAATTACATGAGGCACTTCATTTTACAAAAAAATTTAAATATTACATATCGACATTTTTTTTAATTATATATACTCCAATATTTAAGTATAAGCCCCCGTTTGGCCCCATTATTTCTCATTAAATTAAATTAAATTTTGTTCTCTCCTATTTTTAACAACACAATTTTCAATAAAATAATATTACACGTAAACAAAAAACTTTTCTTTTCTTTTCAACCACTCATTTTTCAAAAAAATACTATTCAAAACATTATAATCTCCAAATAATGGGACTCAAACGGGGCTTAAATGAGAAGTAAAAAATAGCCAAAAAAACACACTGCAATATATGCTGATCCGTATTTCACTGCCCCAAACAGCTCCTCTAATTGATACAAAAAAAATCCCCAAATTTCTCTCTTACTCAACCAAGAAACTCTTAATCCATCTTCACAGTCAAAATATTTGAATATGGATTATGGTATTTGACATTCTCGCACAACCACTAGAATTAATTGAAAAACACATCTGTAACATGTTGAATAATTATAACAATCCAGACATGGCACACCATTAATTCTTCAGGTGTTTGCAAGAAAATTACACAAATGAATATATACGACAGCAACATAAAGAAAAAAAAAATACAATGAAAAGGAAGATTCAAAATCAACTTAATTACGATGAAAATTTACTTGTGCCATGAATGAGATGCATAAAAACACTCAAATTCATAAACTATCACTGACCGGAAAATTACATACCTGCTTTTCTCTATATTCATTTACAATTCAATCACCTGGAAGAAAAGCTAACAGTAAAGGATGTTTTCAGATTCCTTTTACCCAATTGACAATTTTTTTTTTTTTTTCAAATTTACCATTTCTTTTGCGCTCAGAATTAATGAGTGCCATAATTCCAGCAACTTTGAATTTCAGTTACAAGTGAATATGTTGAAAATGTGAAGACAGGTAATTCCGAAAAAATATACCCATTATGTAGTATACAATAAATTTAAATAACAGAATAGTATTTTATGAAATATTTTATTAATAACAGGTATATATGAATTTTTCCGTAAATTTTTAGAGAATATGTGATTAAAATCAAGAAAAAACTTTGAATTTACATATAATATTATTTTTTTGAAGAATGTGTGGTTGAAAAGAAAAAAAAATATCAAAATTAAATTCAAATAGAGGCTAAGCAAATTATTATTCTATAAAATGTTTATACATATGTAATATTATTATCAGCTAACCCACTTCATCATTCAAGACACAGAATATAATACACAATCCATCAATTTTCAAGTTAGAGCATCTCTAATAATTATGTAAAATTAAGTGTAAATTGATATCTATAAAATTAAGTTTGCATTCTCATTTACATGTATGGTCCTAAATTCAAATATTGCTTCAATTAAATATCTAAATTCATTTTTTGTCTCTTGCAGATGTAAAAGAAAATGTGAATTATATATTACACCACAATTGAAGATGCTTTTTTTGAGTCATGAATAAAGCTCTCAATCATGGAGCTACTATAAGCGTGAGTCCTACGAGTAATTATCCAGACATCGGGGAACGTTACTATGAACGACCACTTTGTTAAGTAATAGTAAGTTACAATTGTTTTAACTTATTCGAGCATATGTTTACACTTAGTTTGTTAAACTCGAGTGTTGAAAGACCTAAGCATAAGTTTGTTCAACATTATTTCTACAACATTGAAAATGTAATAAATTATCGAATCAATTTAAAACTAGACTAAAGAAATGTCGATTTGGTAGGAATTAGGATTCCCGGACATCCAGGAGGTTGTGTGGCGCTCTCCTACGATATCCTTTTTCTATTATTTAATTTTTATTGCATATGGTGGACCCCACTTAGACTTTTAAAAGCATTGCAAAAGCAAGCGTTTATCTAACGCACCGCCCGTGTGTTTATATCCACTCATAGCAGTCACAATCGTCCAAAATTTAGTTTCTATTGCATTATTCTTTTCCTAATTACCCAACTTACTAATTTACTACTACTCACTTTTGCATAATACTCATCCAATCCAATTTAAATGTTTTTCGAGTTTGTCAAAAATTTTAAAGCCGAATTTTCTTTTAAAAAAACATCTATTGAATATTTTGAGAATTTTTTTTTTTTCAAGTGAACTCACCTGTCTTCCGTTTAAGACTTCAACCATGGTTAACTAGTTATAATGTAAGACTATATTTTTGAATATCAAAAATATTCTCAAAAAGAAAAATTCAGAGTTGATTGGCCTAATAATCACTAAATTTATGTCTGTATCTTCGACTACGCACTATAGTTTTGAATGTCAATTTTTGTCCACTAAACTTATCAAATGTTGGACGTTACATACTAGCATGGCATTCGTTTCACTATTCTAATGAAATTGGTAACATGACAAACGGGTTGCATAGGTGGCGTCCAAACACTTTTATGCAAATTGTCATGTGAGAAAAGCATCTTTGAATGCTCACTACATTTTTAAAGATGTTTTTGATTGCTTGCTATAAGGTGGTCAAGTTTTTGGCCACTAAATTTGTAAAACTGACATCAACTTGTTTTGAAAATTTATGAATGTTGTTTCAAGCATCATTTGCATACAATGAAATTTAATTTTGCAACATATTACAAGGGAAAGTTCTTCAAGGCATTCTATAGTATACTTGAGTTTTGTTGCAAGTCTTTCTATGTTTGATCTATATTCGAATCTAAGTTTATAAGAGAAAATGAAGGATAGGAGTTAGAAATTGTGAAACTTCGATTCTAAATAGAGATATATTCATCCATAATAAAATATAAACATCTCAATGCTTGATCTCCCTAAGCCATCTTACGATCATCTCCCTAAGTCATTTATGATCATCTCATGCATTATACCGGTTGAAGTTAAATTAGACAATCTATAATTTCTCAGATAATTCCTGATCAACATTTGCAGCTAGTAAATATAAAATTGAACGATGAAGATGGATACAATAAAATAGCAAGAAAATATTGACAATTTCGATTATTAATTTTTAAGAAAAATATGTATGACATTCACCCAAAACAATCATAATCTATATAACTGCAAACCAACATGTATCACTTGACACCAATGTTTCTGTGCAACAAAAAATATACACCAAAAATAGTAAAAAAAAAAAAAAATCCTCCATAATTACGTGCATCGATGAAATCATTCGCAGCTACTAATTACATTTACAAAAAGTCCACTAAAATTATGTCATCAATAAAAAAATAATGGAGTAGACACTTTCAATACACCAGAATTTCATAGTTGACCACAAAGAAGAACCGTTCATCGGATTGAGTATGTTTGTAAGTTTCTACTGAATAGCACCTATTCACAAAAAAATTAAAATTTTCTTGTAGGCAAGTGATATTTGGAACAATGTCATTCCTAAATTTTCAGGACGAGTCGATGTAGTTTTACAATTTTAGTAGATAAAACTCGACATATTTAAAGTATAATGAGCAATCAAAGGCATCTTTAAAAGTAAAGTGAGCAATTAAAGATGTACTTCAAAGTATACTTAGCAATCAAAATGCCTTTCTTATGTAACAATTTGCATAACGATGTTTGAGATTCACTTAGTACATTCCTTCTGCTATGACACCAATTTTGTTAGAGTTGTGAAGCGGATGTCATAACTGCAAGTAATGTCTAACACTTTAATTAGTTTAGTGGCTAAAGTTTGATATTTAAAATTTCGGCGAGTTGTTGAAAATATAAATATAAATTTAAAGCTTATTTTGGAGCGATTTTGAGAATTGATTTTTTGATTGTTAGGGGAAAAGTAAGGTCCATCTGTGAAAGAAGAAGTCAAATATGACGATTGAAATAATGAAATAACGGTGAAAAAAATAACTCCAAACAGGCTGTTAATGATTATTGGGCCAATTAACCCAAGGACTCTTCAATTAGAAAGGTACAGGAAAGTAATAAAACTGATGCCTGCGAATCTATTCGACGCTTATCTCAAATAGACAGACCGTAGAAGAAAGGTAAAAATGTAGGGAAACGAATAGAATACTCTCACCCTTTCCGTCCAATATTTTCTTACATTTTTTTTTATATCTGCTCACATATATAATTTTTGCTAATTTTTCAGATTTCTCTCTGGGTTTTTCGTCCAGAATTTCCAGACAACAGTCATGTCGTTCAGAATCAGAGGGGTATATATTTGTCTTTTTCCTTCACAATCCTTTCTTATGTATCTATGTATGGGTTTTTGGGTTCATCGTGAATGTTAGTTTTGCAGAATTTTTCTGGTTTTTGGGGGCGGATTTATCAGTATTTTTCAGTTAATTTTTAATCACTGTAACCTTATAAGTATGATCAGGATTTTTTATGGAGATCATTTGAATTAATAATCTTTATGCAATAGAGGTAAAAATTTTATAGATAAAAATTTCAGTCTGTAGTATGCTTTGATTTTTTTGATAGTTGCCAATCTCATATTTTGTAAGGTTATGATTTTTTTTTATTTTTTTTATTTTTATCAATTTATGAATCATCAAAAAATAAATAAATAAATAAATAATAAATGAAAATAAATTCCGATATTGTATAGTTTTTTTTTTTTTTTTTTTTAAGCCATGGCATGGAAAATGTTTCTTTGACTGGACGAGATGCCATATGATGGAAATTTTGGTCACAAAACAGTGGGATTTTTGTTAAAATTTAGCTTCAAATTGATAATATTTGTTTATGTCGAAAATCAAATTGAGAGGGGCGGTAGGAAGATTTGATTTCTTTATATACAACCAAGCACCATTTTCTACCGCTGTGCATCATTGATTTGATTTATCTATACAGAAAGTAAATGAATCATAGTTTGATTCTTTTCACTGTATATCTTTGTAAATGATCTTATAGTCTTGTGTATATTAACTTGTCGTTTATCATGATCTTAACATGTCTAGCAAAATGCTTCTTCTGGTATGGGTGTTGCTGATCACAGCAAACATACATTCTTGGAATTGAAGAGGAAAAAGGTTTATCGCTATGTGATCTTTATGATTGACGAAAAGAAATCAGAGGTGGTTGTTGAGAAGACTGGTGGTCCTGCTGAAAGCTACAGTGATTTTACCGCATCCTTACCGGAGAATGATTGTCGATACGCTGTCTATGACTTTGATTTTGTGACTTCTGAGAATTGTCAAAAGAGCAAAATATTCTTCATTTCTTGGTTAGTTCCTATCATTCTACAAATCCCTTCTTTTGATGTTATAACTAGGTTATGCAATCATCCGCACTCTGTCAATGTCTTTTTTCTATGTTTAAGTGTATCCTATATCTTCTTGTAGGTTTACTCTGATACAATCGTGCTTTAGAATTCACCTTTAAAACCACTTTGTAACTTGCAAGGGAAGAGTGTCTAAGTGGTCATTGGCCAACAAACCAAACCTTAACTTAGCGATGCAAGACACTATTAGAATCTTTACGATCTACAACTCCTTTTGAAATCGATGTCTTATAGTCCAGGTTCTTAGCTCAGTGACTTCACGAAACCAGTGTAAGTCAGGTAACTCCTCCTGCTGTGAAGGTCATCCTTAGAGGACCATAATTTGACATCAATTGTTCCGACAGCATATTCCCCAAATGTGCATAGGCAGATCGATTTGTTACTATTCGACTCATTTTTAGCTTAATAGAGATTGTTTAGCCCTTATTTCTTGGGGATTGAAATCTAGAATTTAATCTAAGTCAAAGTCAATAATTAATATTGACTAAATATTTCATGGGATCTATAACTTTTCTATCATACATTTCATCAACTTTTATCAAAATTTACTAAAAATCTAATTTTAATCCCCTCCAAACTGTGGCTTAATAATTTAATTTGTTACTATTCAACTAATCTGTAGCTTAACAAAGATTGTTTAATGATTTTCAATATCATTTATGCCTTTGGTAGTATAGTCTCAAGTTTCTTGATGATTTTTAATAGAATTGGTTAAGTTGATACTATCATTTGACAGAGTGACATGTATGTTGATCAGGTCTCCTGAAACCTCTCGGATTCGTGCGAAGATGCTATATTCTACATCTAAAGATAGGTTAAGACGAGAATTAGACGGTGTTCATTATGAGATTCAAGCAACCGACCCTACAGAAATGGACCTTGAAGTGATTAAAGACCGTGCCCACTGAGGTCTCGACATTTAGAGGATTCACCCTTCGAAGAAAAAGAACAAAATGACCAGGTATTGCCAACTTGTTGATCTATGCTTTTGGCTTCCTGATATGCAGTATATTTCTGGAGCAAGAAAGCTGCTACTAAAATAACTTGCTCGTAAAGTTGATGATTCAATGTTTTATGGGCTATTAGTTTCTGTTAAAGTTTGCCTTTTCTTGCTTCGATGTTATTTAAAAACTATCGAATGACAACTTAATGACATATTTGGCTATATGAGCTTCTGTCTTTAGGGCTATAAACATTTTCCATTTGGCACGGTCAAGTTAGATAAACTAACCCCAATCTATCAAAGATTGTAATGGTTCAGTGAACACTGTTCATGAGTATGCCTTTAGATCCTTCTCTCGGTACAGCCTACATTCAAAGGCTGCTAAGTCCATGGCCCGGCTCAGCACTGGGCTGGATGGTCCGAGCTGAGTAGCTCGCTACCCTTTGACACCCTATCATCTTGGATATAATTGTTCTGAAGCAGTAGTTTAAATAGCTTATTGTTAATTATTACAATTATTGAAAAGAATTTATTTCAACTTTCTGTACGGGTTATACTTTGCGCACTATGATTACCACAACCTTCCGGTATGACAGCAATCGAAGCAAAGTCCTTCACCGCTTCGTGGTATATGGTAGTAATTGACTGGTTCTTGATCGGTTTGATATACACACGGTCCATCGAACTGGCAACGCATAGGAGAAATATTTCGAAATAATAGAAAGGTTAGATCCTCATTGGAGATAAATATGCGTTGTTATATCATTAATCAGAAGCTTGAATTGTCCATTTTTCAAGAACGACAAAACCAACAAACACCATCAAGAGTAGACATTTTTTTAAACAAACCCCATTAACCTAAACTCAAAAGGGTCATGTTACTATGCACGATCAGTTTCTTTCTATGTCCATATCTGATAACCATCGTATCATATGAGTAGAAATACGAGCAAGATTACGAATTCCATTAAGGCCATCCAACTATAAACTGAAGTGGGCATCACAACATTGTACTCATTGGGGAACAATGATCTCTGAACGACATGAATCAATTTGCGGGTCAAGTGGAATAGATATGCAGCCATCATGATAAACAATCCCCAGTTGCCTTCTATTGCATTTGCAGATGATGTGCGCAGACAGATGATTGCACAGTTGATTAGCATGATAGTCGAATCTATGCTGTTAAAGATAACCCTTCGACACAAGTTCCTGTGAAGAGAATTTGATATATTATCGACGTATCATGTAAATGCTTGACGGATTTTGGTCATGACTGCTATGGTAGCCTATTGATCGGTAAATCTTTTACTCTTATCATTGCAATAGACAAGCAAGAATTGATCAAAGATTTAGCAGGCTCAGTTCATATATTCAATGCACTATTTAATGAACAAGTGCCTGGAGAATCTTCAACATGAAATAATATCAAGAAATAAATGTACCTTGCTGAAATATCTTCATCTTTGTCATCTTCGCTTTCAAGTGTTGTCCCAGATTCCTCCTCTCTTTCAAGTGTAGTCGTAGATTCCATCACGGGAAAGTTCTGTTTGAACAAAAAATTGCACGCTTATAAGCTTAGTGTGTTGGAATTGGCAATTCAACGAACCAGTATATGACTGGAAGCTATTTAGTTTACAAAAGCGACACAAAAGGAGTTACATAGAGGATCCACAATTTATTATATATACGGATTGCATTTTTGTTGTAGCCTGTTGGAGTACAGTTTAAAATCCAGTGCTGACCCGGAGAAGGAAAAGGATGAATGGTCAAATGATCAACCAGCAAACTTGTTGAACCGGTTCTCAATTCAACCGGCCGGTTGGCGAACTTGCATTCCACTTTTACTACCATTTATTCGGTTCCAACAACAACCAGGTCACATAATAGTAGTAAATATGATGGGAAAGCAGCAAAAACAGAGAAACAGAATTACTATCATAGCATTAAAAATCAAGGAAATAGCAGCAGAATGCATACTCCCAAACTTGATGAGGATTGAATTAGAGAAGAATTTGCCTTTGGAACTGCAATTAAAGAAGTGCAAAAATTTTGTTGGCCTCTTTTCTCCTGCAGATTTGTTGGAAATGTAGCACCAGAAAAAGGTTCATACCATGGAAGAGCCCTTAACCACGGTCCAAACTTAGCCTTTCCAGCAGAAAACTTGCATCTCAAATAATGGTTCCCAATCCTACCACATTTATAGCAAAATTGTCCCAATTTTTCGTACTTGAAATCGATCCAAATATCTTTCAATCCAGGGCGCCTAAGCCAAAACCCAGTTAGAATTGGATTTCTAACATCCAAAATAACCCTTAATCTAAGAAATTTTCTCCAACAAAATTTCCCATCAAACACATTCCTATCAGCACAGACAAAAATCCCCAAATATTCACCAATCTTGGACACATTTTCTTGAGATAAATAGTTGATTGGCAACCCATGCACCTGTACCCAGAATACAGAATATGAAAAGGAAAGCTCTGTTGGGACTTTCCCGGCGCACCATACTGACAATACCAAAAGCCCACCTCTAATCGTCCAAGGCGAGTCCTCAAGAACGTTCTTCAAATCTTCTTTGCTTTTGAATGAAAACATGAAAATGTTGTGAGTAATGCATGACACTGAGAAATCATTTTTACACTTCCATTCTTTCTTTGCAATGGATTCCACAAGATTTCTGTCTATGGGTTTGTGTAACATTATCTTTCCTATCAAACAGATACTCTCAATTTTCTTGGTGATTTCTTCATCTGCTTTAAGATTGATGCTAATTTCTAAACTCTTTCCTCTCATCATATTTACAGGTTAATGGGAGTGGGAAAAGTGATCGCATGAATCGAGAATAAAAAGGGCTTTGGGGAATTTAATGTTAAGGACTAGTGTCAGAGGTTCAGAATTTTTCTGCAGAGAAAGCGACAGCACAAAGGAAAATGATTATTTGAACCATTTTTCCATTCCTGCATTCTGCAATCTCATTTTTCTTTACTAGGAAATGAATTGAAAGCTCAAGTATTGAACAAAACGTTAAATAAGAGACAAATACCTTAATCGCACAAGAACTAAGGTTCAAAAAAATAATACATAATTTTGTTCCTATAGAATTAACTCCTGCATCGCACAAACACAACGTTGCAAAGACACAAATGTTGTTAAAAAAAATTTAAAACTATAAGAATTTAGAGAAAAAGAGAGTAGAAAATAGACAATAGTCTGAAGTCTATTACCGAAATTAAGGTAGTGGGGAGTGGGAAGGAATGGTATGCACCAAAAAGAGAAAACAAACAAATGAGAGGAAAAAGACAAATTTGAAACTTGCAGGATGGACGATATCTGGCAATGCTTGTTACTGTAACAACATAAAGTTGAAATTAACAGAGACAGATTCGTGCTTGTGTTATGTGGGAGACAAACAAAAGAGTCCTTAGTGAATCAAGAAATCCATTTAATATTAGGGTGTTTGACATAAAGTATTAGCAGATTTCAATAAAAGTCGATGTTGTCGACTCAATTGAAGTTTGATCGATTGACAAGTTGATAACATTTTAACGAAAAGTTTTATCAAACAAGAAAACAAAAGAGAAGTTTCTTGAGCTTCTTTTGCTTGCACATGATGTGCTTTGTAGATTTTGTATTTTTAGTTAATTTTTAACCCAAAAAGATTTGGTTCTCTAGATAAACCAGCCCAAATAAAGGACTAAGTTGCCTCGAGTGGCATTACATTAAGATAACAAGAAAGCATAGATTGTGCTTGTGTGTGAGACAAAAGAGTCCTTGGCGAATCAAGAAAATTTACATACCAACAAGAAAGCATAGATTGTGCTTGTGTGTGAGACAAAAGAGTCCTTGGCGAATCAAGAAAATTTACATACCAACAAGAAAGCATAGATTGTGCTTGTGTGTGAGACAAAAGAGTCCTTGGCGAATCAAGAAAATTTACATACCAACAAGAAAGCATAGATTGTGCTTGTGTGTGAGACAAAAGAGTCCTTGGCGAATCAAGAAAATTTACATACCAACAAGAAAGCATAGATTGTGCTTGTGTGTGAGACAAAAGAGTCCTTGGCGAATCAAGAAAATTTACATACCATTCTTGACTTTCCAGCTTTAATAATAAAAACATAAGAAATTTAAGTAGTCTTTGAGCTTTACTACGGTTGTTTTGCTTGCACATGATGTGTTGATTTGATGAGGAATTACAAAAGAAATTGTTCCACTTGATAGTATTTACATATCAATACATTAAACTTAAAACTAAAGAAAATGTAACTAAATTTAGCAACACAAAAAATAACATAAAACATCATTTTTTCCCCTCCTCTCATCTTAATTAGGAATTTTATTCATAAATTAGGTCTAGATTTTAGTTATTTTTAACAATCAAAACCTAAATCAAACCATTTGAAACAATTTGGTTCGATTTTGAAATGTTCGAAACCTAAACCACTTAAACTCAAACCAGCATTCAAAATTAAGGTTTTATCTTGATTTCATGAATGACGGTTTTGTAATCACCCTTAGGAGGCGAAAGCATCAATGGTGGTGGTGATCAAAAAGTTGCAATACCAAAAAATTACTTAAAAGTAACATCAATGTATATAATTTTCTAGTATTGAAGGGGTGGCAGGTGGTGATGGGTTTACAGTGAAATGAGATGATGATGATAGCTATGGGGAGATGATGTAATAAATATTACACATTGTATCGAATTACATAGTCAAGAAATTATAGAAATGTAAAAAACGAAAGTAACAGATGATGAGCACACTAATTTTTGAAATACTTTTTATTTAACTTGATTTTGGAAAGTGGACACTTCAATGTTTCGTAGTCGTGTATTTAGCCCTTAAATAAATGGGGAAAATAAAAGGAAGATTGTAAAGATGACAATTTTATGTAATTAATTTAACCCCCTTTATGTTTATGGTTCTTTGTTTCGTTACTTTTATTTTTTTTAATTTTCACGTCTCTATTATATTTTAATTATTTTTATGTAATTGAAAAATGAGGATATAAATGTCATTTTAATGAAAACTGGCATATTATTGAACTTTTAGAGTAAATTTCTTCTTGAAAAACTAAAAAGATACAAGAATTTTGGGTTTGGAACTTGCTAAAAAAATAGAGAAATTCAAATGCTCGTGTAAAATTCAAT